TCACACACCTTCTTTCTTTATTTCGACCGTCGGTTCGTTTCTACCTTATTCTTTTGTTGCCTACACGCTTATCTCTGTTTATTCTTCTACTATATCGCTCCTACATACAAACAGGTTTAGTATCGAGATGATTGAGTTCACGCTTCGTAGTATGCAGTCTCATACAAACACACACATATACAAAGCTTAATAGCCAGGAGTAGGGACTAGAAAGCAGCGCATAGAGGAGACCGAAAATAGGAAGAACTGTATAGCTATATTCTGTGTCATTCTCTCGCATTCTTTACTTCACCGGTTTCCTTTTCCCACTACATTGCCGCGTTTCATTTTTTCAAATCACTCCCATTCTGAAGAAGTTTTCACTTCAATTATTTTTTGAAAAATTTACACCAGTATTACCTCTTAATGTCTGCGATTATGAATTTATAGTTAAGTAAATGTTACTATATTTCATGATTAATTCGTAATTGTTATTTATATATTTTTCATATATATTATTTTACAGTATGTATTGGTATCTGTTTTTCTGCTAAGGTAACGAATCGAGGGAAATGTTACCTTCGATTTGAATAAGAGTATTGTTATCAAAAATAGAGGATAAAAGAATCTTCAAGAATTTAATGAAACGCAACAAAAAGTTTTTTCTTATAAAAATAGAATACATACTTGATTAAAAAAGAAGAAATTTTCAACGACAATAACGACACTGGTCTGCAACAAAATCCTTCAAAATATTATGTCATAAATATGAAGATTTTGATGCTCTGAATCTGTTCCCGATTATACAAATTTGGAGGTATTACTTGAAAAAATAAAATATTCTCAATACCTATGGAATATTTGTGCTGACTTAAAAGTTGTCGCTATACTTACTGGATTACAAGGAGGATACACCAAGTTTTGCTGTTTTTTATGTGAGTGGGACAGTTGCGCGAGAGACAAACATTACAAAGTGAAAATTTGACCACAAAGAAAAAGCTTGACACGTGGACTTAAAAATGTATCTCAAGAACCTCTAGTGCCAAGTGACAAAATTTTTCTGCCACCACTTCATATAAAGTTGGGACTCATGAAAAACTTAGTGAAAGCTATGAACAAAGATGGTACAGGCTTTCAATATCTCAAAACAAAATTTCCTCGAATCAGTGACGCAAAATTGAAAGAAGGGATTTTTGTAGGTCCGCAAATACGAGAGCTTATAACGGATGAAGTTTTCAATTCGAAGTTGAACGAAGCTGAAAAAAAAGCTTGGGTGGCTTTTGTAAAAGTGTGTCATAATTTTCTTGGTAATACAAAAACTGATAATTACCGACAAATCATTCGAGAGCTTCTTTCTGCTTATAAAGCTTAGGATGCAATATGTCACTCAAAATTTATTTTTTGGACTCGCATGTAGATTTCTTTCCGGAAAATCTCGGTGGCGTATCAGATGAGCATGGTGAAAGGTTTCATCAAGATATTATGCATATTGAAAGACGCTACAATGGAAAATGGTCAGCAGAAATGCTTACTGATTTTTGTTGGTCGATTCGTCGAGAAACTTCGATGGAAACGATGAAAAGAAAAAAAACTACAAAATAACTTGAATTATATTACCATAATGAGATAAATATACTGATATTTCTATAACTTGTGACTGTAAAATTAGCATTTTTCGCTGTAAAACTTAGACCGTAGTCTTTTTTCACTTTTTTGTGATTGTTGTTACTTTGATAATATCGTTTTTTAATTAAATAAACATTGTATTTAAAATCTATGTGCTGTATTTATTTGCATGTTAAATTTCGTGTTTAGAGCACTAAATATGATGTTATCATGCATGAAAACAATGAGGAGAAAAAAAAATTTTTTTTTGCAAACCAGTGCGATGCGTGAATTAAACAGTAGCAACGAAAATTTAATCGACAGACAATTAAAGAAAAATAGAACTGAAAGAGTGATAACTTAATTGAGTCTATTAGCGATTGAGTGGCAACCGAATAAGTCTAAAGAGTTGCTCTTAGGACGCTCGACCAACTATCGTTTATATGCAAGTCATGTGAAAACCACGCCTTAAAAGGTCGGCCATTTTGATTCGAGAACAGACGAATTCCCATTGGCTATATCTTCGCGCGAATTCAGGCTATTTCACTTGTTTGACTCACGAGGACTCTCTCCTTGAACAGCAGCAAGTTAAACAGTATATACAAAATTTGCTATCTTTGTTTTATTCGAGTTAAACATTTTTTCACAACACGTGAAAAATATATATTGTCCGTTTATATTGGAGTAAATAGGAAATCGGGGCATCTTTAAGTAATGATTTTTCTCGATTTACCTCTATAAGTCCTTGAATAAAAATTGAATAACTCAAACCACTCGTAAAATACTTAATATCTCAATGTTTGAATAAGCAAATGTCCAAATTTTCTTCTTTTAGATTGAATACGTATAGATACTTTATATTATTAATCTATGACTGTATAACAAATACTCTATGAAAATGTTGAAATTTGTTAATTGTATTATTTCATTTTATTAACAGCTATATCAAAACATTTCGGAGATATATTAAATATAATTTGTTTGAAACAGCAAAAAAGGAAATAGAAAGCTTGGAAATCTTTAACATGGTGAAAAACATTTGGAACGACAAAATGTCCTACTTTCCTGAATACATACCGAAGACAGATATCACTGATGCACCAACCTACGAAGGTGAGGCACCATTCATTGGAGATCCAACCTCTCAAGCTACTGAACACTTCACGTTAATACCGGACCTCGAAAACACTCGCATACCGACAAACAATAACTCTTCGGAACATTATACCAAGTAGTCCTGGTAAGTTTATCTAATTTTCTCTTTCCTCATTTTTCCCTTTTTTTAACACCTATTAAACTTATTTATTATAATAATAGTCTACGTAACTAACATTTCTTTTTAATTATTTTAATAATTAAACTTGACTTTAATAATTAAACTAAACTTAAAAAAACAATAAACTTGACAAGTTGAAATGAACATTTATGAATTATATATTTATATTCTTTTTTCTTTTCTATACAAATTATGAAAATTTCTTTCCTGTTATTTGCACCACTATACGCGAAGCTTATTTTATTTTTCTTAGAAAATAATCAAGGAAATCTAAAATATAATTTCTCTTTTTAAAACTTAAATTTATTTTTTGTTTATCTCGCAATTCATTATTACATTCATATACATAAACCAAATAAAGATTTATTTATTTTTAATATTGAATTATCCCTCTATGGGCCTGTGTTACTGTCAAGTAACAAATTCATTTTTCAGCATTTTATTAAGCAATTTTAGTTTTTTTAAACAACTAATACCATATTCATGACGGTTGCTAGCATAATTAACATAAAATAACAAAATAAATATTGTGCCAACTGTCTGTAGTAGAAGCAAGCGAAACCTTTTTTTTTCATTGATACTATTTTTGTTTTAGTCGCTGTTTATCGAATAAAAAATTATGTATATAGTAGTTCTGAGTTTGAAAATCCATAAAAATTAATTTTTTCGCATTCCAAATATCATTTTAAAAATTTTTTTTCATGATAAAATTCTGTTACTTTGAAGTAACATTGGCCTATAAAGGAATCTTCTGTATATTTAGGATCACGCTTTTTTGTTCTATCGAATGTTGGAAATAGTTGAAGAATTCGTTGCAGCAAACAATTCTTGACCATTTTTATCAGTTTTATTTGAGGAAAGATTCGAAGATTCTAAAAAGATAAATTTTTACGAAAAAAATAGATAATTTAGACCGGTGGTCAATGCTTAGCTGTTATATAAGCAAAACTGTTCATTGCATTCTGTTGGACCCAGGAATCAATATAACTTAATAACATTTAAAATTAAAATTGTGTGCATCCTGTCTATGTCAGGAGTACAAAAAAATCCGTAAAAAAAGAGGACGTCTTTTTTCCACCAATGTAGATAAAAAATTATAAAGAATATAAAAAGAAGACCAAGTACAATACTTCCATCAAAAAACGTGCGAAAAGATGAAGTATATTTATATTTATTTATGTGTAACGTCAAGTGAAAACTGTTTCGTTGAGTTTTACGCTTAAGTTTTCATACACAGAAGTGCGAATATTATAGGCCGTTGTTACCTGAAAGTCACATAGTAAATATACTGCAATAAAATTGTTTAAACAAAAAATTTTTTTTTCATTTGCATATATATGTTTATAATTGCTGATTCTTCGTTTCCTCAATTTTTTTGTATTGAAAAAAAAATTTGGCCCATAGAGGATTAATTTACATAGCTGATTTTATGATCTCTCAAAAACGATGTTTTTTTTACCATACATTTTGATTCATCATTTCTACTAAATATTTTTTTGTCATTCTTTAAAATTTATATGATTTTATATTGTCATTAGGAGTCTTGTTTACTGTTAGTGTGTGGTGTATGTGTATCAATAGTTATGACATATGTGACATAGCTTGAATGATTATTCAAAGCACAGAGTATAATAATACACGGAGTATAATATCGACGTCCTATTCTTTTAAAAATTCACCTTTAGACTGGCTCATTGTCATATATGAAATTTTCTTCGACCTAAACACATCATAATAATAGTTCTCCAGAAAAAATCTAATAAGCATTACACGATGTATAATTTTAAGGAAAACTCATGACTGTATATGTGAATCAATTGAAATGAAAAATAGTTCCCATGTGATAATATGAGATTCACTTTTATCGCAAGGAGGAGGCCACACATTAATTATTTTTTTATTTTATTAATCGAAAGGTAAATATTTCTATATTTTTTTTTAATAAGAATTCATTTGCATCAATATTTCTAATCAATATTTCTAATGCAAAGTTATTCTTTTATCGGCATATAAATTAAATTCTACAGATAATATAAAAGTTAGAGAGAACAATATTTTTACTAAACATGTCTAAAATGGTTCTTTGTTCAAATTAATAAAAAATACTTGAGAGTCATAAATTTGAAATGTCTACCCTTTTTTTTTATCGAGACATCATGGTGGGACGTCCTATTTCTTTTCTAAGGATATACCTATAAAAATATTTTTTAGTAATATTCATCGAAGATAATAATAGTAAAAAAAAGTCTATCAACGACAAAAACGATTGCTCCGTAGCTTTAAACATTTAATAGGTGTGATATCTGTCAATGGAACGAACATGATCAAAAACGCCGCGCCGAATTGGTTATTATATCACATTTTATGTGATTTTTACGTTTCTTCGAAAGTGGAATCGCGTGCTTCTGTCTCCCTTCACGAGACTTTTTTTCATCCGAATTGAAATTCTTTCAAGGATATTCCGAAGGAACATCTGTATCCTTCTTTCATCTGACGACACGATTTTATGATATCGGAAATGTTAGTTGAAACAAATTAAATCTACGACAAAGAAGATTATTTAAATGATTTTGCGCTATTATAGAAAGTGTCACAAAATTTAAAGAAAATTAAAAGAGATTTTAATTTTAATTTTATACTATTATAAATTTATTAGTTATATTTATCAATTCATAATTTATGTCGATCAGATAATGAAATTTATATAATTAATTAAAAAAATTTATTATTTTTGTGTTACGTATACGATGACATCTAACTATTTGCATCGCAAAAAAACTTTATCTCCAAATAAATTCATAAAACATTATAAATGGTTCAATTTCGTTGCAAGACAATTGAAAATATTTTTTATGAGTTTAATATTAGTTTTTGTTATATGGACCGCTTATTTTGAAAGTAACCTAACTTCATTTTCTAAAAACATCGAGTTAGCTACCGTAATAGTTACATTTTTACATGATCCTTTCATTCTGAAGCAATTTGTTACAAATATATACGTATTTAAAATCATGAAGATATTGTAATAAGAAAATTTGCCGATCAACAAAATGATGAAAAGTTTATTGTAAAAGTGGCATAACTCCATTCGTCAATTATTATTTTCCGGTTGCATCAGGTTATTGTACAACTTCATGCAATGTATTAATAAAACATTTGAGGTTGCTATATTTCGAGTAAATATGATAATACTTAATTGTAAATAAAAGGAGAAAAGAAAATTTTGTATAAACAAAATTATTAGAAGACGAAATTTTTAAAAGGGTAAAGAATTCTGATGAAGAATCAATAAACTGATAAAAATATGTTGGATGCGTTTTGTCAGAAATGAACCGTATAAAATTTTCTATAAGACATCAATGAATGAGAAAGAAAATTTTTAAGTCCTGAAATTATTACCACGTCGGGGTAAACCAATAAAATTCGAAAATATTGTATTGATACCACTATATAAAATATCAGACAAATTACAATAGCAAAATTCAAGGACATAATTGACTTATAATGATATATACCACCGGAACATCATGATTTCTTCAAATCCTTTTCACACACACAAAATGTTAATGAGTAGTAAATAGTTTTGTAGGTTATGTTTGTTATTTTGTACGTTATGTAGTAAAAAAATTTTTTGAATCGTATAAATTATGTTTTTAAAGTGTTTTAAAGGTATGATAAATAAATTGAGTATTGTTTTTTTCAATTTGAAGCATCTTAAATTATGTTGAATGAAGTTAAGTCCCTTCGAAATTTCATAACAAATCAAATTGTTGATATTGACAATGGCCTAACTCCATTCGTGGTTAGAAAACGCATATTATTTGCTTAATAATTGCCACTATTTTAATAGGAAATATAAACAAAGCCTTTAGATACACTTAAGCAGTATAACTCGTTAGTATCTTGTACGTATATTTTTCATTGCATTGAAACACAAACCCTTCAGTATTTCGATTCGAACATAAATGGAGGTAGGCCACTTTCAAAATAAGCGGCTCATGTATACTATGTTGATTGGTACGGAAATTGCGTATACGCTACACCGATAAAATTGAAACTCAATACGGAGCACCATCTCGTATCTACGGAGATCATAATTTTAAAATAAATGTAGATAGATATTAGAATAGAAATCTCTTTGTAAGTTCAATAAGTTATTTAATTATCAATAAGTTATACTAACTACATCAATCACTTGCTTAGAAACAGTTTCTTGTGACGCTTGTCATAGCATTATACTGTAGTTTAATGGGCAGATATCTGTTATTTTATAACAAATGATTGAAAGTGCAATATATCTATACTTCGTATTTAGTTATATGCACAAAGCTATAAAAATCATCAAACGGTGATTTTCTTAACTGTGCAATTACTGTTTTTAAAGATGTTATCTTTCTTTCTCTCTGTATTTCTCTTTCTTATTTTTTCATTATCCAAATTAAAGTATTCTTCTTTTGTTTGAGACGAAGTACGTGGTCGAAATAGTAATCGCAAATCTGGTGCTCGTTAAACAGATTCTAACCAATAAAATGGCCCTCTTTCCTAGAAGTAGTCAGACCATAGTAGCGCTTGAAGCAACAAACTGAATCCCAGTCTCAAAACGTTGAGGCTCCACCGATACTTTTGTAATTATCTATTGTAGTCTACCAGGGATGTGTTTCTTTTTTTTCAATTTTTTAACGATCCCACACGACTTCCTTTCAAGTTTTTCTTTCTTTCCCATGCTCGAGATAAATTTCCGGGAAAAAATAGAAGAAACAAGAACACGTAATGCTTAAATTTCGAGCAAATTTAAAATAATGAATTTTTTTTTAAGGGTTCATTCTGGTTCTTACGCCGAAAAAAAGGCTATTTTCACGACTTTTTTTTAGGCTTTGTAGGATACATATACATATGAAAGTTGTAGGGTATGATAAATACACTCTAGAAGTACGAGAAAAAAATTTTTTTTTATTGTTTTTAAC